CAAATGACTTTGTAGACTGTAGAATACGTCTACAAAGTAGACTTCTATGAAGGTCTACAAATGTGTAGACTTCTCTCTATTATGTGTAGACTTGCAAAGGACAGAACCGTAAAATAACTGTCTGTTTTTTTGTTTGGTCACAAGGGTCAAGTAGTAACTTCAAAACCCCTTTAGGTTGGTTTTGCATTTGACTCAATAAAGGGTACACCTTTAGGGTTGAAATGAAATTTTAGGTTGGTTTTGGCAAATCCCCCATTTTTTAAATCACGGCTCAAAAAAAAAATATAAAACCTAAAAATCCCGCAAAACTTGCTTGGAGTTGTGCCCATTTCATTTCAACTTCTAATTTACATTCAAACAAAAAAACATAAAAAGTTCTCAGCTTCGACTATACAAATGTTATAATCACTAGGGGTTTCCCGACACTACGCTCCGGTTTTTAAAATTATTTTAATATAATAATTTAAATATATGATTTGGTTGTTAATGTATATTTCATGTGCCGTCCTAAATTTTGACATAAACTATTCCCAAGACCCATTTCCTGTACTGTTATTTTATGAAACCATTTCAAGACTAAACTACATCAAAAAGACTTTTGTCCAAGTTCATAACAATAAACATTAAGAGCTTTTACAATAAAACATTGCTCTCGTTTTACGTTTGATTCTTGTTCTTGTCATTCCATGTAACCTAGCCATCAACGTTTCGCCTACCGGACAGTCGACGTTGTAAACCATACCATGAAGAGCCTTTTCGATGTTATATAAGAGACACTCTTGAATTGGTGCCACTGGTGAATATGAATATGAATTCATCTCAAAGAATATGAATTGGTGCCACTGGTGAATATGAATTTGTGATGGCATTAAAGTAAAGTATCATTTTTCAATGTAGTAAGGAGCTTGTCTTTGATCTCTTTCAGCAGAGTCTGCCCACATTTCCCATACGTGTTTTCATGTAGAAAAAGTAAACATCATTTCGTCTTGAAGCATTGCCTGATTCCAGGCTTATATTATTCTAAATCAGCTTCATTTCATGCCAAATAAGCACGTGGAAACTGTCCAACGTGTTCCTCAGACTTCTCTTCCGAAGTAATAACCAATACAGTTGCATGATCAACTTTTGCATCCCTCAAAAACCAAAATTGAACCCGCTTCAATCACTTCAGTCTCAACTGAAATGGTAGACATAAATATTGTAAAAAAAAGAATAAAAACTTGATGTTTAACACCTTTTCCATAACCTGTTTGCTACGGATTGCTGAAAACTTTAAAACCCTCTCATGAACATTTCATCACAAAGGAGACAAAATAATGCAAAAGAGAGAATCCTCGGCATAAGATCCATGAGAGATCCAGTGAATAATAGAATAAACCTCAAGATACAGTGCCAGTGTTAACGAAAACACCTTAACATCAGCTGAAAGTTTTTGACAACTTAAGGATCACCAAAGTTCTTGAGCCTGAATTAGATTCCAAGCCGGAAAAGTTTCAAATTTCTTAACTCATACTATATTTTAAGTAGCAATCTTTTTATTCTTAGCTTCGAAAGCACTGTTTTGACTCTTGTTTATTTTCCAAATACAACTTGTAGTTTTTACATTACGGCAACAACATTAAATTGTACAGACACGGCTTTATGTTTAGAAAGCAAAAGGATGACATACCTCATCATAGACCCACTTCATGTTCTGGCTCATCAGGATCAAAGGACTTTCCTCCATGAACTTTCAGAAAGAATAAACTACATCATGACTAAAACAAACATATTCACTTTGAAAGAAAAGTTTCTTTTAGAAGAGTTCCTTCACTTACCTCAGACCACTTAATGAGATGAGCATATTCAATACAATGAGCTGCATTCCTAGGTGCGCAAGAGTGCACAAAGGGAACTTCACTTGAGTTGGAAAAAGTCAAATTGTGCACTCAAAACAAGGTGTAACACCAGGCACGATAACTCTAGCATGACCCTAACCTTGGGTTCCTCCATATACCATCGGCTTGATTGTTTCTCTTCTCGGGGTATCATCTTCATCATACTCTACATTCCACAAACACATGATCAGAGAAGGAAAAAGCAGAGAACTTAAAACTCACAGAGTAAATGAATTTTTCATACCAAGAAACCCACAAGCTACGCCATTGATGTATCTCCTAGCTTCAATGGAATCAAGACCAAGGGCAATGATATTAAAATCGTTATAAAAAGTCAAGCTCTTTGTCTTCTATACGTGAAAAATGCGGAACAATCTCCACTCTACTCACTCTCACCATCACACGCTTTGCTGCTACTTCTGCCTTAGGCTTCCCTACATCTTCAAGTCTAAAACCAGACACAAAACCAAATCAACCAAACAGTTATCAAATTCCTACAAAATCTTTCTTAGAACACCACACATGGGAACATGACAAATACCCACAGATGGTTCTTAACATTCTGTGCCTTAACGTTAGCGGTTTTGTTCTTCTTGTTCACGATGCCCACAATGTAGTTTGTGATCTAACTGGTAGGGTAGTCAATGTTTGAGGTGGAAATGGTTTAGAACAATGTAAAGAGAAAGATGGGGGCGAACAAAGACGTTTTTATTAGATCTGAGCAAGGAGTTACAAGGAGAAGAGTAAAGAGGCGGACAAGCCGGAAATACAAGATGGTGAGTAACGGTGAAGGTGAGTAAACCCTAGATCTAACCACCTAGTCGCTAAGAAACCTTAGATCTAGCCGCCAAGTGAGTATGTCGAATTCCGGATCCCTTTTCCTTTCACTGCCTCTCCCCTTTTATAGACTCTATCTTCGTGTTCGCCCTAGTTTACCTGAGCCTTGTTGGGCTTTATTCTTGTTAGGCCCGTTTAGTCGTCCGGGTAAGTCGTACTTCCGCCGACTCTTCTAGAATACTCTTAGTCGCACTACTAAACGCGTCTCATGCTGAGTCGTTTTGATGTTATCTGGTTGGCCGAGTATATTGTCGTGTTGGGCTAAGTTTCTCCATTTGATGGGCCTTGTGGAGGGGTATAACCCATCTCCTACAATAAGTCCCCCCTAGTTCACTTATGAGTTCATAGGACTCTAAGTGAATTTGTGGGTCAGGTTTGATCAAATGGGGAATCTAGCATGGATGCACGTTTAGGCGCCACCTCGAGCGCGTCTAGTAGCACGACTGAGTCGATGCTTGAAAGCGTGTTTAGGCGACACCTCGAGCGTGTCTAGTCTCGCGGCTAGGATGTCACCTATGAGAGCGCGTTTAGGCGATCACCTCGAACGCATCTAGTCTCGCGACTAGGATGTCTTCTATTGTCGCGTAAAGGCGTCATCTTGAGCTTGTCTAGTAGCATAACTGAGTCGATGCCTGTGAGAGCGTGTCTAGGCGACACCTCGAGCGTGTCTAGTCTCGCGGCTAGGATGTCACTTGTGAGAGCTTGTTTAGGCGACACCTCGAGCGTGTCTAGTCTCGCGGCTAGGATGTCACCTGTGAGAGCTTGTTTAGGCGACACCTCGAGCGTGTCTAGTCTCGCGGCTAGGATGTCACCTGTGAGAGCTTGTTTAGGCGACACCTCGAGCGTGTCTAGTCTCGCGACTAGGATGTCTTCTATTGTCACGTAAAGGCGTCACCTTGTGCTCGTCTAGTAGCATGACTAAGTCGTTGGTCGTGGGAGTGCAGTTAGGCGATCATCTCGAGCGCACCTAGTCGTGCGGCTAAGACGTCACGTTTGAGCGCGTGAATGCGTCATATTGAGCTCATCTAGTAGCGTGACTAAGTCGTTGCTTATGGAGTAACACTTTGCTCGAGTGGATCAACCGAGCTGATCGCTTTTCGACTTAGTCGATCTAGATGACCAGTTGAGATGCACGTTTAGCTTCTAACCGCCTTCTGGTTTAATCTCAGTTGCTTCTCGATTTAGCTCTGGTTTAATTTTGGTTCGATTAAACCGGTTTTAAGGGCTAACCAAACCGAATTAGGTGAAGGGTTAATAGATCTCGAATAATCTTCTGGGTTTCTACAGTTGATGGGCTTAATTAGGCCCGTTTAAGTGCATTAATTGCACTTAGAGAATCGTGCCTTAGGACTTTGCTATAAATAGGTAGATTCTCTCCTTCTTTCATTATTCTTCTCTGCAAGTTCATGTACTTTCTTCTCTCCCTTCTCTCTATCCTTTAGCTTTCTCTCTCTAGGTGTTCTTCGACCTCTTGCCTTGTGATTTCCATCTTAGGTTATGGCTTCTTCGGGGCGATTATCGCGTGAGGAAAAAGGCAAAGGGATTGCCTGTGCGACGGGTCAGACCGATGATGTTACAGCGAATGGAAGTCCAATAGAAGACTTTAACCTGATTCATCGCGACGCTTTGCGAGGGGAGAGGCTCGAGCTGCATAAAGATTCAGCCGCGGAATTAGAGAGTGAGGAAGGTGACTCTAGTCGCTCGGGTAGCGGGTCTGAGCGAGAGGAGGGTGATTTAGCCGCCGAGAAAGAGAGTAAGGAGGGCAATTCTAGTTGCTCGGGTAGCGAGTCCGATCATGAGGGTGCCGAAGGTTCCGGCTCCGATGAAGGGGTTGAGGACTTAGCGTCTCCGGATCAGAGCCCTCGAACTTTGTGGTTAAGACATCGAATTGCTAGGTTTGATTTTATTGAGTACAGGCCGTCAATTTATCGTCTCGATGGCACCTTCGAAGAGTTAAACGCTCTTCCTCCGGAGTCGTTGTGAGATCCTTGGGCTGAAGGCCAACGTTGGGAGAATGTTTTCGGGACCCGATCTAGCCACAGAACCGTGAGAAGCATTCTGGAACACGCCAGAGGAGCGGGTGTGACTTACGTGATTCCTTCCCAGGAGCAGAGGCCTTGGTCCCCTCCAGCCGGCTTCCAATGTCTATATGAGTCGTACTTCGAGGATGATTCGAAGCTTTGGTTTCCAATTCCACGTTTGATCTCAGCGTACGCGAGGAGGCGGGGAGTACCGATCAGCCAGCTGAAGATAGGCTCGATTCGGAACGCTGTTATGCTGATGGTGATGGCTGCGGAGATTGACGTCCCATGAGTGTGAGTGTATTCGAAGAGTTGACTTCTACGAAGGCGGAAAAAGGGGGCTTGTTCTCTGTGAAGATGCGTCCTAGTTACAATGTCTTGACTGGTCAGCCCCGCAAGGCAACGAACTGGCAGCGTTCCTACTTCTATGTCAAAGCCGATAAATATGCGTTTGCGGAAGCCATCAAAGACGACTTCCCGGTGTTGTGGAACAAAGAAATTGGTAGAAAACGAGCACCGTGTTGTCTGCTATGTTCGTCGGTTGTCTAACCTTGCCTTTTATTTTTGCAGGTCGTCATCCGAATACAATCGCGTACCCAGAAAATTTCTTCGAGATCGCACAGGCTATTGCGACCCAAAGCCATCTGAATTGGCCGGATCTGAGTCGTGAGTGGATTCGTCGACAACAGGCTCGCATAGAGAGAGGTAATAATAATAATTTTTTTTATCCAACCTTAGGTTCTGGCTGACAGACTAACGGTTGTCTTTCTTCTTTCTGTTTTCACAGTTGATTGGGAATCAAGACAGCCGCTGATAGTCTCGGCACGCAAGTCCCGCTTATCCTTGTTTACCAGGAAACAACAGAAGCTACTCAAGCAAGCGAGAGAGATGTCGGGAATACCAGATTTAAGTGCTCTGCTCAAGGGGAAACTCCAAATGCTGAAGAAGACGACTTCTAGGGTCGTAACGGCTGGGGATGACGATGCTGAAGTTTCTCAGCAACCCGATCCAAACCCAGCTGATCAGTCTGCCGAAGTCGATCCGCCGGTCTCTGAAGCGAAGAAGAAGAATAAGAAAAAGTAGAAGAGCCCCGTGACAAAGGAAGTAAGATCATCGACTGAGGCTAATCCTTCAGAAGGGCGTTCGGATGGTCTGGAGGTAAAGGAGAAAGAGAAGGAAAAGGGATCGCGTGACAATTCTGTCGATGGCGATCCTGAAGGAAAAGGTTCGGAGGAAAGTCCGAAGAAAAAGAGGAGGAAAGTGGCTAAGGGGGGCTCGCGATCTCTAAGTCCCAAATCCCGTCCTGCAGACACAAAGGGGACGGTGAACGCTGATGATGAAACTGAAGCGCATAATCGGTCGGTAGATCCTTCTCCAACCGATGTCCTTGAGAAGAGGAAGTCTCCCTCTCGGGTGAGCCTATCGGAAGGTTCGCTTGGCAAGAGACCCCGAGTTGAGCTCGCGGATCGCGTGAACTTCTCGTACGATGAAAGGACTCCTTTGATTCATAACCCAGGCCGGTGCGCGGAGCTTACTCGTCAGATCCGAGGCGGACCGGTTGAAATGCCTCCGGTTGGAGATCTTTTCTTTAAAGATGAATACACGGAAGCTGCTCTTCAAAACAGAAGGGTATGTGCTTTGATCGATGCTTGGATGGTTGTAGTTGCATCTTTATCCCTTTTCAAAACTAATGTCTTTACGTTTGTTGGTTTGCTTTCAGGCCGATGGGAGTATGAACGTACTCGTCGAGAAGTACGACAGAACTTTGAGACAGACGATGGTCCTTCTCGGGAATGCGGAAAAACTTGCCCGCACAAGACTCGGCACTATCGAGCAGATCAAGGCCGAAAACAAGAAGGAGAAGGAGATCCTCCGTGAGAAGTTTGCAGGGTTCGAGAAAATACTCAAATCCGACCGTGCGGCGAAGAAGTTGCTTGCGCGGGAGAAAGCGAGTCTTGAGAAAGCCAACGCCGCGCTGGAGCAGGAGAAGGCTGAGCTTCAAGCGGAAAGGGATGCTATGACACAGAAGCTGATCGATGAAAGGAAACGCCTGCGGGAGTCTCGAGGTCAGGAGGTTACGCGCGAGAGGGTGCGTGTTGAGGCGGCTATGACTGACAAAGCTAACCGTTGCATCGATCGTGTTCGGGCTTACCTCGAACGTCGCAGCCTTTTCGATCGGGAGCAAAGTTTGTTGGATCAGGCTTCTGGGACAAAGAAATGTCTCGAGATGATCCAGGAAGAAAATGTGGGTATCACGCAGGAACTGATTGACGTCTTCGGCGGTCAAGAGATGGAGCATGAAGCCAACGTTGCTAAACTGAAAGTGACTCCTTTATCCGATGCTGATCTCACCCTTTCGCCACTGGTTCTCCCTTCTAGGTTCGTGAATGAGGAGTTCGCGGCTATGCTAGATCCGTACGGGTCGAATGATGACTTAGTTAGATCAGAGACGGCATCGCAACTCCGGACATCATGCGAAGCTCTTGGAAACGAATCAACCGGTCAGTCGTAGGAGGTTCCACCCTATGTGATTCCGTCTCAAAAGGAAGGCGAAGATAGGATGGAAGAGCCGTCGAGAGGACTAGAGGGGTCGGATGAGCCGCTTGCTGAGAAGCTTGCTTCCCCAACTCAAGTTGAACAGAAGGAGTTATCTGAAGAGGTCGGTGAAGATGAGCCGGCGTCGTTGGTCGACCTCGTGGAGAA